ATACATAGGTGCTTAAGGAGAATTCAGGCCACCAAAAATATTATTCAGTGTATTTCTGTGGGTCATACAGGTTTTATGTGGCAGATCAGGTCTTTGGGGACCTAGACAAGAGCCTTACACATTTACTCTTCTCTGGCAGACTTGCCATTCTTCCGTAGCAGACTTTACTTGTCTCTAGAAGACTTTATCAGTAGTTGATATTTAGATTTAGATTTATGAGAAGGAAAGATCAAATATTTTTCTTAGGTGTTGTCACCCTGAGGGTGCTTAGATAAGGACTCTGTTTCATTCTTTCAGACTTTCTGAAACTAGGCCCCATACTGTTTCTGTGCTACTTTCCCCTATGCAGAAAGTTAGAAATATTTTAGGTTGGCTAATGCGGATTAGCTGCTTTGAAATGGTAGCTTTGTTCCAAAGAACACTTGCAACTAAGACTGAATCTCTGTGTACGTGTCTGTTGTTCGTGTACATGCACGATTGGCCCATACTTTGAGATTTGGATCTCTAACAGCAGTGTTGTTGCCTAGCTGAGGCTGGTATAACACAAGTGTGTTAGTAAAGCTGATTTTAAATCTGAAATGACCATCAGTGTGCCTGTTTTAGTCACTTGTTAGTCACTGTTTAACTAATCTGTGTTCCTTTTTATTCCCCACTCAGATGTTGCAAGAGCAATTGAGTTACTGGAGAAACTGCAAGAATCTGGAGAAGTACCAGTACACAAGCTACAGTCCCTAAAGAAGGTGCTGCAGAGTGAGTTTTGTACAGCCATCAGAGAGGTATGAAATTGAGATTTTTAGTTGTTTCTCAGAATAACATCCCTCTCCTGAAAAGAAAAGTATATTTGCCTTTCGGTGCTGGAGAAGCAGGAGTACCTTGTGTAAAGGATGATGGATGTGAGGTGGGTCTGTAGCTGCCTGCTACCATGCATAATGCTGAAGTTACTGAAAAGCAGACGCAGAACAGTTGCGTCAGCAAGGCATCAAGCCTGAGGCAATTAGCCTTGCTAAGGAGAAAGGGTGATTAATTAGTACTTTAGTATTCTGCTCATGCTGTTTCAGGGTCTGTGCTAACCTGTACAGAACTGTGCTGGGATATGGGGACATGCCAGGTTGGGTCAGTGCAAGCTGAAGTGCCTCTCCTTTGAGCTCAGATGTGTGATAGGGATGTGCTGATACAATCAGAATGCTGTGAGAGACAAACGGTGCAAGCACTGAAGTTAACTGAAGCCGACAGGAATCTTGCCATTGAAGTCAGTGGTTGGGTCCCAGTGGGCCTTGCTCCAGGTGTCAGAAATCCTTGTCAGATTGCTAAGAACAGTGATCATTACCCTGTCAGCCCTGGTCAGCGCCTTCCTAAGCTCTGCTAAACAGCAGGTAAATGATAATTGTTTTCTTCTAGTCATGCTAGAGAAGAAACACCCCACTTCCTACGTGCAAGCAAGCAGTATCTTTGAAGCAGATAAATTACAAATAATTCTATTAGACATTTCTTAGAGAGAAACTATGAGTTAACACAGCATGTGTCAGACTTCTTACCTGCTAAACTGAGTGCTGCTAGCCTGCCAGACAGAAGCAGCTATAAATGCCCTAATGAAGGCAACATCTTTTCAGTGGAAAATCTGTAAGAACTTCTGTTTCAGTTTGTCTGTCTGCTGCCTGGAACTAATCCTCCCTCGCTGAAATCAATGAGGAATCTAGTGTTCCCTCAATGGTAGCAGAATTGAACTCCTGATAACTAGGCAACAGCAGTGCATTGATTGAGTGGACTTCTGGGTGGCTGGAAGGAAGAAAGGCAGGAACAGACATTAGTTTAATAAGCAAAATGCAACACACTCTTTGTTTTATGGAATATATTCTTCAGTGTGAGAAACAGAGAGAGGCTTCCACTTAATTAAATGGCAGTTTTCAAGGCTTTTTAAAGGCAATAGTGTTCCATGACAATAAATATTGGCACTATGTACCCTGAAAAGCTGATATTCTGACTAGTTCTTTCATTTAACCAACTAAATGCTCCTTTATTTGACCATGGAGCATTGAAAAGTTGTGGGGTTGGGGTTTGTTGGGTTTTTTTTCAGATAGCAGAGCCTGGTACTCCAATTGTTAAAGTTAACTTTCCATCTTTGCAGCATCATCAAATTTATATTAATCTATGGAATATAGTCTTAGCAGAAGCATACACAAAGCTTCTTGAAGCAGGTACAGAGCCTAGGAAGTAGGAAAATGGCTTAGACAAATGCACTCTCAGTTCACTGAACTGAAAGTAGATTTTGACAAAATCATCTCAGTTGCACAAAAGGTCTTTATAGAGTCTTGTGTAAGGACAATCTGCACATGACAGACTATCTAATTACTGTTAGATTCTTATGACCAAATAATAGTCACTTCAAGAAGCCTGGAGCTAGTTGTTACACAAGAATTGAGTGATGATAAATAAGCAGTTAGATCAGTTCTAGCAGCTTCATAAAGAAAAACATTTATTTATTTTTAAATATTTAATATATTACATATACAATATAACCTATCTATCTAATATATCACTGTCAGAGAACATAATTTCTACACCCCAAAAAATTATTAATGCCATTCACCACTATATATGCAAATCTTTTCTTAGAAGAAATCTTCAAATATAAAAGGCCCAGTAACAAATCTTTTCATTTAAGGAGAGTGGGAGAATTGACATACATACATTGCTAGTACTTAAGGTTGTTCAACGTGTGGCTCTTCTTTTCAGTTACTTACATTAAGCCTTTGGCAAATATTTGGACTATAACTCTCTTTTTTTTTCCACTGGTTGAAGAGTTGTTAGAAAATTGCAGAAAATAATTTCTTCAACTTTTTTAAAAAACTAATAAGAAAAGCATGAAATATTTTAGTCACGTTACATTGTTAGACATCTCCAAGCACTGCAGCAAGGGCTTGGAGGATTACTCAGCTGAGTCTTGCCGTTAATCAAGGATGCCCTTCTTGTGTGTCCTTCACGTACACTGGAGTTTATGAAAGACTGATAGCTACTTTATTGAACAGCACAGTTTTTTTCTGAGCCTATATGAGCTTGATAGCTAAGGCTAGACAGAAATCTCCCTGCAAATGCTCCCTCCCATTGTTTACCTTCTCTTATCCCAAGTGCAAGACATGAGAGTGTGGTGACAAGCTTTTAATTCCTTCTGTTAGCACCTACATAGACTAGATGAGAAAAGTTGTTGACCTTACAAGAGAAGGCACGACAGTCAGTTGGAAGTAACAAGAAGAGTGGGAGTTGTTTGGAACACAAGAGCCTTCCTGGAGAACGTGATGAAGAAGACCAGGTGTGAGCAGTAGGTAGGAGTAATCGAAATGGGATGAGCAGCTGTGGCAGGCTTTGAATTAGTATGCAAATTCTGGAAGAGGCTGCTTATTATATGTATACAGAGATTCAGATCTGCTGTGTGGTGTGTTCATTTATAGTGCAAGGTCTGAGCCTAACTTTCTTCCAGTCTAGTAAAAGAAGTTAAGGCTGACTCCGGTAATGCTATAGGCTCCATAATGGAGGAGATTTAGAAAATAAACATTTTCTTTTCCAGTCTAAGAAATTATGGACACTTAACTATCCAGTCAGTTTGATTGTTAAAAATATGCCCCAGAGAGACTCAATATTGGGCTCAATATTGTGCAGGTGAAAGGATCAAAGATAAAATGTAATCCGCACAGTATTGATTGAATGTGACTTGTCCTTTCTACAAGTAGGTATTCTTTAACTACAGAAGCAGGAGGTCACTTTTATGATCAATTAGCCTTTAAAAGTTTGAGATATTTTATTAGATAACATACATTCCAGTCTAATGTGTAGGAGTCTATTAAATGGCTGTAATGAATTGTATTTATGGGAACTTATTTGGTAAAGCAACACGCCAGTTCAAATCCCCACACTAATATCACATAGAAATAAGATCTTTTTAAAGTGACTGAGTGAATGAAATTTAAATAGAAGTACTTTGGCATTTTTCTAGGATGCTATGTCAGGAAATGGTGATTAATGGTTTTCACTTAGCTAAATATAAGTACCACCAACTGAAATACTCTGTCTGGCACTAAGCAAGAATATGTATTAGCTCTGAAAATAAAGGAAATAATTGAAGTATATAATGGCTTTAGTATTTCCTTTTCACCTGAAGACCCCCAGACCGCAAAACAAGTTAATGGAAGTCTGATCACATTAAAATTGAGTTTTGAAAAAAATGTAATTGTGTTTTAAAATTACTTGTTTCAAAAGGTCCCTAGCTACATGAAGATTAATTAGCCTTCTATAGCCTTGTCATCTGGCAAAAGATGCATGAATCTTGTCCATTATACTATTAAGTCCTTTATCCTTCCATGTGTTTTTGCTGTTTATTCAAAGCTGTTGCTATGTTATCGTCTTCTGATTCCCAGGGGTTTACTGGAATAGATGAAAGGCAAGACTGTGAAAGTGAATGCATAATTGAGCTACTGAGAAGGTATATTCACATGCAATGTAACTGTCATAAGTCAGTAAAAAGGAAGTTAGGAGAACTGTAAGATAAGGTGAACTTCAGGTCTGGCAAGAAACCTTAAACAGGTGTAGGCATGGAAGATAGAATAAACAGTTAGGCAAAACACAGTGACTCATCGACAAGAAAATGTGGCATACCTTAGCAGATTATGGGAATTTCATTTACTGTTAACATCTGGTAATTGGTACTGAAACACCAGGAGAATAACAATACAGCTTGATAAACCCATGCATGTCCTGATGAGCGGAAGTTTTCTTTCATGTTGATTCTCAAGTTTCTCTTTCTGTATGTTAAATATGCAAAATTCAGGTGTATCTCACTTTCCTCCCAGCCTTTCTTCACTACTTCATTTTCCATTTCAAGACCAAATATGATGTTTTTGTGTGTGAATATTATTTAAAAGAAAATCTGACTGGTAAATACCTATGGTGAAACATTTATCAATACCAAAAGTAATCAGATCAGAAGTCTTTATAAAAATGCGATGTGGCAACCAGACACACAAAAATAACGATTATTTCATTCTGTTCTCTTATGACTCCTACCAAAATACCAGGTCATCACAGAAGAACACTTTTGCAGGACTGAATCACTGACAATAGTTTCTTAAAAGGAGGAGCAGTCAATATGAAATACTCCACTGTTGCGTGTTTTGTATGAAATTAGTCTGTGGAACAGTATGTTGTCTTTGAAAATAGTTCGTTTTCTACTTCAGTAGTTTAAAACTTTTAAACTTACTATAAAACTGTCTTGTGGACAGAGCATCCTGGACATTTAAAGACCACTAGTGACCTACAGGAAAAAAATGGCAGCGGCAGAACATTGACTCATTTCCCATGAGGTCTGGATGCCCTCCAGTTACTTTAGAGATATATTTGATTATGTCCTATAATATTAAACACATAGTTTCACTATGTGCTAGGTAAGATAGTCCAACAAGGCTAGTTGGTATATTGGAATGATTTCCTTTATTTAATATTTTTCATTTTTGTGCCTTAGCAATCTGAATGCCTGGAATCCCAGTGCTGCTGATACGCAATGTGTTATCATTTGGTCATTTCCTCAAGCTGCCTACCTGCGCTTTTCATTATTAACTGTGATATATGTCTTTGCAAATATTAGGGAACCAGAAGAAGGCTGCTGGGTGGTGAAAGCTGAGTCTGGTGATACTGTGCTCATTACTTTACTGTGATGCGGTATGTGACAGCAGGAAGCTGGAACCCTTAGCTGTTCAGATATGCCAGTACAGTGGGGATGCATTTTCAA